TATCATGGTCAAAATAAGTAAGTTTCTTTCTTATAAGCATGAATAAGTTATATATGAAAATATTTTTAAAACTAAAAGATTTAATTACTTTAAGCTCAACCAAACATTTATTAGAAAAATAAGCAACTTATTTTAGCTCTAATCGATACAATTTTATTTATTATAAAAGTTTATATATAATTATAAGTAAAATATGCATTAAATAAAAATCTAATTTGGTAATACAAATTTTCACATTTTATTAATATCATGAAAGAATATGTGGATAATTGGACTTGGGCTAGGACTCAATATGAAGCTGGGCTAATATATATATTTGGGCCAATTTAACTATAAAATTTCTCTTTCTTTTACCATGTGGGTTGGGGTAGCCCAGCCCAGCCCTGCCCCAGATCCGCCAGTGGTTGCGATAGTTCCAAGATCTGCAGAAGATTCCTGTCAAATGCTTCTCCGTGCACTTTGATTAAATGTGCTGGTTTCCAGTAGAGTCCTGTTTAAGGAAAATGAAATCATTGTATAATATGTGTAAAGTATTGAAATGGAATGATTACAATGTGTTCTGGTTCATTTCTGATTCAGGTCGACCAGTTCGCATCTTACGCATGATATCAATACTGCCTATGTTGCTGAGGCTAGGTGACTTAGGATGCTATTGAGAATTATAGGAGAAGGGGAAACGGAAAGGAAAGAGAGCAAGGATGGGGAAAGAGAGAAGAAGAGGGAAAGAAGAATTGAGGGCAAGAGAAATCTGTTTATTTCATATATCAAAGTTTGTGATACAGAGCATGAGACTCCTTTATATAGAGATTTAATAATTCTATTGTAAGTAGGAAATATATAATAAAAGCTATTAAATTAAACCCTAATTATATTTCCTAATATAAGTTTTAAACTTGGAAACAAATTAGATACTATCTCTTATAATATTGCATAACTATTGTTTTGGCTGTTGAGTACAAATGTGGATCCCGGTGTCAGACATGTAAGTGTCAAATTTATGATCCAGGGATTCGTTCATAAAGAGTCTTAATTTCACATGTGGGTACATGTACATGCCACTCATGAAATCAGTAAATATCAGGATACTACTCGGATTTGACAAAAGGAAAGAATAGTTTGAGAAAAAAAATATGTATTGTAACTTGAAAGTAATATGAAAGGGGACACATTTTGCATATGGTTAATAAGCTATATTGCTTGGGACTTATTTTATGCATTGTTCTAAAAAAGGGGAAAATGCGCCGCCTAGGCGCTCCTAGGTGCGACGCGTGACCAAAACGCGTCGAATTCNAACACTGATTTTATGTATGGATAATCTCTGCTTCTGAAGATGAGACACGGATTACGATTGAGCCTGTTAGTGGCCCAGGCTTTGATGCGACATTTTTGGAGATCTATTGATTAGTAATATATGAGCCAGAGTAAGTTTAAAAATCAGAGGTGCCACCTACCATTTTGTGGTTTTGAACTTTTGTTTAATAAATAAAAATGTTGGTCCCATCTTTTGGTAATTCTAAGTTTTCATTATATTGAACCAAAAGCTAAGCTTTTGAGGATTTGTTTGTGGGGGACGGTTGTTAGGCATCCCCATTGTCAATATTAAAGATGATTAGCTTATCATAATATATTTAGGCCCCTAAAAAATAGGAAGTGGACAAATTGTGAAAGTAGGTGCATATCCCGTTAGAAATTTCTACAGAGAGTATGATAATTGAACAAAATGTTAAGCTATCCATGATGAAGGAAATCAGAAGTATAGATCATTATGCACCCCATAACAAGGATCTTCTACAAAATTGTGGCACTTTCTTTTGTACTTCGCTGAAAGGTGCAGAATCTACTGCACTACTAATTTTGTTATGAAGTAGCCAGTAGGCTTGATGCAGCTGCCAGATCTTTGATGGAGGAACTTTCTGCAACCATGGTAGGTGCAAAAGGAACTGACCTGTAGAGATTTTCCTAGAAAAAGGAAGATAACCTGTACACTTATTTATGTCTAATATCAATTAAGTAGTCATTTAATTTTCTCAGTTTACCTAGCACATTATACGTAAATAATGAATAACTCTCATTTGATTAATAAAACTATTTAAAGGCCAAAATTCAAAAGAATAGAAAGGTAATTACCCACTCAATGAGCGATTTTAGAATCCGACGGAACTTGGAAACATAACAGTGGTGGTTTTATTAAGGTCTTACTAAACCACTCTTACTTAAACATGTTCGTATCAAAATAACCTTGCGTTCGAAGTGAAGACTCCTCATTTATTGCTTTTTGTCAGTGGCTTTCTTTGTAACTTAAGACTTTGATGTGAATTAGAACTCATTTATGTGGAGACAAAGACCCAAATTTTATCTCTCAAGCCATAATCATGCCATAATTATAGTTATGACTTATTTTTAATTACTTTTTTTTTCTTTTTCCAAAAAATAAGAAAAAAAAATGCAAGTCATTTTTTTTTTTTGATAACTGTGGATGTCCGGGCCAGCTTGCGCGCACCTCGACTAATTCCACGGGGCCCTGAAGTTTACGGTCGGATACTCATCTCAGTGGCCCTGGGGGAACTCGAACTGGTAACCATTGGGGAGCAAACCCAAGGCCTGACCAATTGAGCAACCCCTCAGGGTTGCACGTCATTTGTGATCCTCATGAATTTTGCACTCGAACATTGTGAATGGATTTTATTCATGATTCACTAAAATGGGATTCCTTTCTCTGTTGAAATCTTGGTCTTCCTTCACTACTATTATCAGATAGAAGATTACTTAAAGTTCCTTCCACTACTTAGACCTTCTACTCTATTCTCATTTAAGTCATTTGTCCATGTTGCGAATTTGTTGATATCATTTTCTTTGCCAAGCTTAAAGTTCATGATTAGTAGAAATATTCTGATGCCTGTTCTCTGTGATTTTAACATCATTTTTTTTTTTATCTTACAGACATGCGAAAAGTTTTTCCCTTCGAACTTTTCCACTTGGGTGGTGATGAGGTTCATACAGGTAATATAAGATTTTTCTTGTTTTCTTGATAACCTCTTCTTCTTTCTTCTTCAAGTACATTTCTCTGTTTATGCAATGAAGGAAAAAAGCTTGAATTTCCTAGTTACGAGCAGAAATAATTGCCCCAGAATGAATGTAAATAGTGAAAACTAAGCACTCAGAAGTTTTCTTAACAAAGATTCTCAGACGGAAGTATGAGGGATAAACCTATCCCGAAGCATAAAATAGTGCTCCCTTTCTTTATTTCTTCTGTTGTTTTGCCTTCCTAGCTAGGTCCAGAAACATCCTGGATATTCTTTCTCTATTTTCTTCATTACTTTCTTCTCGCTGTTCCTTGGCACATCAACTCCTTAATAACCTAATTCATCCACTCATCATTTTGCATTCATCCATGTGTCCCTCATAATTCCCTCAACCTCCATCATTCATTTGCCACCAGAAACATGCCTCACTTCACTTGAGCACCATGCACCTCAATTGTCAGTAACTTACACATATGACCCCACACTCAAGAACACCAAGACAGCCCGCAATCACAGACTTCAAACAATCAAGGTTGTTCCTGGCAATAGCTGCTGCTGCAAAAGGGCAGCAGCCTCACTCCTATACATTAATATCAACGCTGTGTATGTGTGTGTGTGTCCTCATGTGTCTGTCAGTCCATTTGTTTTTGTGTGTTTGTGCATGTGTGAGTATTGTTCTCTCTCAAATATAATAGAGCATACCTATACGACAGACAATGGAGGGGAGGGGTTTTAAATAGAAATCCAAGAGAGTGCTCTCCAATTCCACCAGCCAATAAATAATTTTTAATTTTAGTACGAACTCATGCAGATTTCAAATTTAGACATTAATCCATGAAAAAATGATCGTCAATGAAAGACACGACAGTTTGCCCTTATGTAACAAATAACTGTGAAATCTGAAGTAAATATTTACATATTTTGAACAAATTAAGCTATCCATTATCCATGAATATAAAATAATTATAGATTAAGAGAATCGTAGTTTCGAAATTTCAGGCTGTTACAATTTGTATGTAAGTTTATTAATTTTTACATGAATACAATCACATATGCATAATATGCATATAGTGGAAACTTCTGTGATCTACAGATATCATGGCACAGTTAGAAGTAAGAGTTTTATACATTTTACTGAACTGGAGATGCAGACTGTTGTTTGTCGTGTATCATTAATTCTGCTCTAATTGTTGAAGCTTATAACTTCTGAATCTTAATTATGGAGACTTTATAACTAATCTATCACTTAGTCATCTGATAATGCAATTTACTGCTTAAAGCTTGGATGAAACTTCATTTCTTTTTTAAGTTTAATCCATAAACATTTTTGATCTATGTCTATCTCTTTCTACTCAATGCTTTTACCTTTGCGGCTCATCATTTTCTCACTATACTACGTTAATCTTTATGCAGACTGTTGGACCTCCACGCCACCAGTAAAGCAATGGTATATTAGCTCTCTCATTTAAGTTTATAACATTCATTGGTGATAATTTAAAATTCTGGAATCAGTTATCTAGCAGAATAGTTACAGGATACTGAATTTGATTCGCTTTGACCTCTTGATAGGTGCTCAAGTTTTACTTGTAATTGTCAAGAAACTGTAACTATATTAAGAGGAACTGCGTTTGAATATCTTGAAGGAGATTGCTAAGCAATGCGCGAATTCAACTTTATCTTTCGATGAGCATCTGATCATTATATTCATAACACTGCATTATCAGTCTTCCAAAACAATACCAACAAGTTTAACAGTCTGATTTTACATTAATTTGCCACAGCTAGGTAATAAAAAGAAGTGAGAATGTGATTATGATTGAGCATGAGCCTAAGAAGAGAAAAATTCTGTTCATTCTGATATCATTTCTTGATATCAGGGCTTTCTATGTACTGAATTTTGAAATACTTGACCTTAATCAAGATCTCGCAATGATATCATGTCCTTTATTTGCGGAATCTATATCAAAAATTTTCTCATATATCTGTTATGTATAATTAAACATTGGACGCAGGCTTCAAGATCATAATATGACTGGTAATGATGCATATCAATATTTTGTACTCAGAGCTCAAAAAATAGTAGCATCACTAAATTGGACCCCTGTCAACTGGTATGTTATCCTCTCTTTTTTTCCCTTATGCTATTGGGAATATTTATACTTTGTTGGAGTTGTAGTGGGGTTTTGTATACAAATATTTGCAAGTTTCACGACCTGGACCACAGTTGAGAAATCTTATGCTCCAACCATAACGTTGGAAGATAAAAGATTTCTAGAATAATATGTTTGAACCATAATGTACTCATTTCTGTAAAATTTGTAATATATTGTACTTTATGTTATTTCAGGGAAGAAACTTTCAACACATTCCCGACAAAACTCAACCCACAGACCGTAGTGCATAACTGGTGAGATCTGATTGTATCTATTTTTCCATATCAAATTGTGTCAAGTTATTGATAACAACGCTGAGGTATAGATCCTTGTGATCCATGTAGGTTGGGTTCTGGCGTTTGTCCAAAGGCTGTTGCAAAAGGTTTTAGGTGCATTTTCAGTAACCAAGGCGTTTGGTATCTTGACCACTTAGATATCCCATGGAGTACTGTCTATTATGCTGATCCATTAGAAGGAATTACTGATGTTTCCGAGCAGAAACTTGTTCTTGGAGGAGAGGCTTGCATGTGGGCTGAAAAAGCTGATGCCTCTAATGTTCAACAAACAATATGGCCTCGAGCTGCTGCGGTAGCAGGTGAGAATTTAACTTTATTGTTTTGGCATCTAGTTCCAGCAAATAAGCTGTCTGTTTACACCTAAGAATCTAGAAATATCTCTCTATGTAATATTCTTTAGGTTTGAAAATTATACCATAGAAAACTTGTATTCATTTAAGCAACAGGCTTCTGCTTTCTTATTTTTATCAAGATAAAGTCGGGGTTTACTTTGGTGATGCCCTATTCATGTTTGGCCAATGAATGTGGGTTTTCATTTTCTAGCACTAGGAAACACTCGATATCATGCCTTGCTTGGACTTGAGCTTGATCAATAATGTTAAGCACGCTTCAACGACTGACTGGATTGACGGGCCAGTTCAGTATCTTTTCAAATGAAGAAACTTTGTCACCATTATTGCATATGTTTGAACCTAGGACAAGAGAAGCTATGCTGTGACCCAAACAGGCATTTTCTCTTCTTTCAGTCAAATGGTTAATAAGGTATGGGGGCATAAGAGGCTGTTGACCTGTGGAGAACTCGGCTTTTCCTGGTGCTTATTTTATTTGACTATGGTGGGTATTTTATATTTGGTGGAACTGAATAAAAAGTCATATGATTGTACAATTTGTTGTGAAGCAGCTCGTGGCCACTTGTATCCACAGTTGGGAATCATCTCCATACATGTTACAGTTTAACATGTCACCCATTTATTTATGCATGTTTTGTGCTTGTGTTTATTTGACAATTTGCTCATAATCATTGAATTCAGATACATTTTGATTATGATGAATATATATGTGTGTGTGTGTGTGTGTGTGTGTTTTATCTACTTCATTTTCTTACAACACAACTATGTTTTTATGTTTTGGTTTATTTATGGGATGTGGTTTGATTAGCAACTTCGATTGTTGCAATAATAACCAGTGATCCCTCCCTAAGTGCATTTGTTGTCAGTTGTCTGTTGTATGTGGAAGAAATGATAATATTTTAGAGTCGTCGTAATGCACTTGAAACATGCATACTAACAATAATTACATAGACATATGGAGTGACATTGACCGCATTAAACAAGACTCAAGTACTAAAATATCTTCAATTAAATGTCCTTGAAAAATTTTAGCCTTCAAAAAGGAATGCTAGGTGAAATTGCACTATCTTCGAAATTTTTTGTATTGCACACTCCTTGTATGTCCAGTTAACTCTTTTTATAATGAAAATGATCTATCTGCATTAACTTTGCCAAAATGTTCACAAGCTGCTCCTTTGCACTACATGAGCTGTATCTTACCCTTCTAAATAGATTATCTACCGAATTGAATGCTGTAGCTTATTTATTATCACAACAAAAGGTCATTCCAAGAATATATCATGTACCAATTTTTCTAGTTTGTCTTGAGGCAGTACCATTTCAAGAAGTATCTGCTTAAAGTCCAGAAATTTTTTAAGATTTTGTATTTAACATCTCTTTTTATGCAATGTAGAACGCTTGTGGAGCAACAAGGAGTCTGCATCTTCTGAAAATAGTACTACATTGCAGAGATTAGAGTATTTTCGATGTCTTCTGACGAGGCGTGGAGTTCAAGCTGCACCTGTTACGAATTTTTATGCTCGAAGTCCTCCAACTGGTCCTGGATCATGCTATGAGCAGTGACTCAAATGTGGCTCTGGTAAAATGAATTTTATGCCTTCATGCCCTGAAATAGTTGTTCCATTTTCCTGGTGATCAATGCAGATGTTTCAGTCTGGTTTTTGTATCTTATCATGGTAATATCTGTGCTACAGGATGTGGAGATGGCTTTTAGCTTTATCATATTGTGTAATGTGATGATCTGAGCATGTGATTTCGAGACATTTCTGTTGTCAATTATTGTTTGTTAGACGATGCACAAATCATTTTCTTCGTTGCTTCAACTTCTTTTTAGGGTGTGTTCGGTAGAGATTAAAATTGGATTAAAATTGAAAAACTAGTCGTTATTGTTGACTTTTATTAGAGGGGTGGGACCCAATAACGGCCATATTTTCAATTTTAATTGAATTTTAAGCTGTACCGAACAGGCTCTTATTCAAATGTCAGCGTGGATCAACTCTTGTGTGTTAAGAATAGTTTGGATAAAGTGAGATTTTGTCTCTCTATAATGTGCAATTACATGTGGTAAAAAAGTGTGAGAAATATTTGCTAATAATATTGGATTGGGAATACTTTTTCAATAAAGAGTTAGTTTGGGAATGTAAAAGTCCCCTTCTAGAGGCTTTAATCGCATGCTTTATGGGACATGGTGTTCCCTTGTCACGACTTTGGTTTAGGACGGACCAACATGAACTTAGGATCCATTTGGCATAACTTTTGCTTTCTGTATAAGAGATTTTAGATGAAGTTATCTTAATTTTTGTTTGAAAACTAATTTTTAAAAGCATTTTCTATTCCTGAAATACTTTTAGAGGAAGTCACATTGAATGAATTTCCTCTAAAAATTCTTCTAATTAGAAGAAGCGCTTTCATAAAATTAGTCAAACGGATCCAAAAGCTTTTTTGTATCTCAAAAGCTCTTTTTGAACGAGTCCTTACTCTGATGAGAAAGCATGACTCTTATGAAGGGCTAACAATGACGACTTGAAGCACGACAAGAGCAGTGTAGATTATTCTATCTTTAACTGCTACGTATTGGGCTCGTTAATTTTCCTGCTTTGAACTTTTATTGGTCGGTATGTTTGCTTTCAAATTTTGTATTTTGTTTATTTCTTTCCAGTATCAGAGGGTGTTTGGTGGGGATTAAAATTAGATTGTTAGTAGATTGTGATAGAAGTTTTTGAAATGTGTGGTTGAAAAGTTGTGGAACCTATGAAAGATGTGGTTAATATTTGATTGTTTGACTTTGACTTGAATTAAAATCAGATTTTAATCCGGACCAAACATGGCCTTAATAAATACTCGGGTGGGTGGGTGGGTGGGTGGATTTATAAATTGGCGGAATCTAGTGCATTG